TCGTAGCTACCATTAGTATATTGATAAAAACAAAAAAGAACATTGATTTATTATTGTGAAATTATGCTTCATTCAAGTCCAACCTCAAATCGAACTGAACTGTTGTGTCCCTTATGCGAAAATGGTTCATTTGGGTAGTTCACCTGAGTTAGGGGGGATCATTACAATAATTCAAATAAGTGAGTGATTTACTGGAAATTAAACTTGATGAGTGAAGCTTGATTGATACTGGCCCTTCATGATTGTTGACAACCAAAGCTGGTGAATTTATTCTTTGCCTCTGCTTGTTTTAAACCTGTTAGATATCAGATTGGTGTATTGTTATGTTAATTTGTTCTCTTTTCGGTTCTTCTGCATCAGGAATTTGACTCTTCTTATGGTCCAGCTTGGCATTGCATAGTAGGAACAAGCTTTGGTTCGTATGTAACTCATTCTGTGGGAGGATTTTTGTACTTCTCGATAGATAAGGTTTACATCCTTCTCTTCAAGACTGTTGTTGAGCCTTTAGATCAATGAGAGTTGTTACAAGTGCTAGTCCGGTGTTAAAATATATACTAATATTGTTAATTTAATTGTAAACTTGCAGCTACGCCAATATTGTTAAATTTTGAATACAGTTATGTAGTAGTGTTTGAACAAATATTGTAAACTTCAAACTTTGAAGTTTCAACAAGTATGCCTCCGACAGAGGTCAATGTCTAGCAAGTCACTGTAGCACCTAAAGTTTGAACAAGTATTGTTATCATTTTTTTTTCTCTAGGATTCTCCCCTTTTCTGTGTATTCATGTCACACTATATGATCCAACTTTGACTTGAAGTCTTGAATATCATATCGCTGTAGTATTAAGGATCCAACTTTGACTACAAGACTTGTAGTCAAGACCAACAAAAATTGCAAGTAAAGCATTCCATTGGCACGACGAGTATCTATAATTTGAGTGTAGGGTTTAGTTTCAATTGATTGGTGTATATAATTAAAGTTAATTAATCATACTTTAATCCAATATATTATGGTACGTTGTCTGCCTTCCACTCTGAATTCATCCTTCAAGGAAGGAATGTTGAAGGTGGTTTTAAACATTAGTTATTTGTTTAACAGTATATCCAGTTAATCTGCAAGATAAGACACTATAGTGGTTCACCATCTACTTCATATGTCCTGTTTTTAAGACATTCAAACGGCTCGTCCTACTGGCCAAACTCAATTATTCATTTGAATGCCCAAAAACTGTTAGAAAATGCCTATTCGGAGAAGGAAGAAAGGTCAAGATAACAGTACTGAAAATGACTTCTTGGGTAACCTTGTAATATCCACATCACCCTTCCTAGCCAATAATAAACCTCAACCATATGGGCATATGACCATATATGCTTGCCTCTCTTATCCTTTCTTTCCCACAAGTTCTTTGAGCTTGTCAGTCATGGATGTGTCTCAAACTGATGAGAACACTAAAAACCATCAAATCACCCTGTGTTTGCCACAGTCCATCCAAGAAAAGCTATCTGGTCTCAAGCTTGGAGAGGAGCTGATCAAACCTGCTCAACCCCATGAAGCTTTGTTCCTAGTCCTTCCTTGTCTCAATTTGCTTGAACTTCTTACATTAAGTCGAGTTTGCATATTATTAAAGGATGCCATTGATAATGATATATTAGTATGGCTAGATATCATTGTTGAATCACCTTTAAATATGCGGATCAATGATGATATATTGCTCAAGTTTACGTCTAAAGCATTGGGAAGGTTGAGAAGTTTGGTTCTGATGAATTGTGTAAGAATTACAGATGATGGACTTCATAAGGTTATTGAGAACAATCCTCACATTGAAAAGGTATGAATTCCAAAATGAATATCGATCTTTTTGTTGATGCATACGTTTTTTGTATATGGATTTTTTTTGTCTTTGATTAATTTGGTTGGGATTGTTCTGAGTTGTACAACTAGCTAACAAATCTATTTGACTGTAAAATGCAGCTTTACATACCATCATGCACTCAATTGACACCTGATGGGATTGTGAGAGTAGTAAAGAGTTTAACTGATCAGAGCAACAAGTTGAAGTTCTTGAGGTTGGAAAATGTCCAGAATCTAACCAAAGAGCACCTGCAAATTCTTCAATCATGTCTGAAAATAAGCCCAGAGGAGCAAAAACCCAAAGTGTATCTAGCTTATGAA